GATGGTCACAGTTTCCCAATTGAAACTATGGTTAAGTCTGTCCATATATTGAAATTAAGGAGTTTTCATGTCTTCTGACTGCTAATTGGTATTCACGGATGTGTTCTTCCAGTCGTCTGCCTGTTTGCTCTACATAGTAGCTGTTGCAGTCATTACACTTTTATGTTGTAGATAATTCCTGGCTTTTTCTTCTGGAGCTGCTGAGTCTTTTGGGCTTACTTGGATGTTTTGAAGGGCTTTAGTTGGCTTGTGTGCTATGCTGATTCCATGTGGTTGCAGTAGTCAGAGAATGGATCCACATGATACCAGCATAAACAACTGGACACACATGAACATGTTGGTTCAGGCTGCCACTATAATGTATAACTTAGGTTTTCTACACACCGTATCTTGAATCAGTATAGTAGGAAAAACACCACATCCAGAGCATACCACTTTAAGCTGTCCTTGGGCTTTCTCAGCTGCAAAGGTTTGCTGAGATACAGTTGAAGTGTGCTTGGACAATGGTTAATGGACTATTGTTTGGGTCAGGATAAAGAGACTGTGTGTACAGATGACATTCCAAAGGGGATAAGAAAACACAGTTTCAAAACTGCAGAACAAACTGTCACAAATGCAGGGAGTCTTAAACCATAACCTTGGATCAGCCAAGCCACAATTTGAAGCTGTATCAGTCATAGGAGAAATCCCACCTTATGCAGGAGTACAAGGTATAAATCAGGAGCAAAGCTGTAATAATTATAGAAGAATAATTATAGAATAATTATACAAGTCGGGTGAAAGATGTCAAAAGAGCTTATGTAAGTACAAGATAAGAAGCCATGATATCCCAGGAATATGATTACAAGATCCCACTATAATTCTAGCAAATTCTGGAAATTGGCTAGCGATTCTTTCCAAAGGCACACAGAAATATTTCATTCATTTTTTTCTTGTACCCTTGTCTTCATACTTGGCACTTTGTCAAGGTCTTTTGGCATCTCATCATTATCAGTGTGATTAGCCACCTGTGCTGGATTCTGCTCATTAGCAGAAGAATCTGTCTATATTGGCTGGAAGCCAGACTGTTGTCCTACGGAAGGCAAACAGTTTCACATTGTTCTCTAACTCCAAGAAGACCATGGTAGCATAAAGTGATGATACATCTTTTGTTGGAGTCAGATTACAATGTGTAAGTTTGAATCGTCAAAATCCATAGATGCTAATCAATCTCTCCAGTGGGACTATCAAACATGGAGGTCATCATTCAAACATAAACAACATCTAAAACCAACTGTATTTCTCCATCTTACTTTTATATGCAACTTCTGAAGATGAAATGTTCTTGGCCAGAAAACGTCCTTTCGTTCAGCATGGCACATACTGTATCCTTTCCAGACATGGTCCCAGAAGAAGGAAGGATAAAAATTGTTCAAGTGCAAGAAGGTCAAGATCTCAAAGGTGTAACTGTTCAGGATTATGGTCAACAACCACATATGTATTGTAAAAGATTCCCATGTCCCAGAATATTGTATAAAAGAGGAACCAAATGGAAGGTCTACAATGGAATATGGAAATTTATAAGCACCATGTGAATCATCAAATATACATTGATGTGATGGATGAGGTAACAAATCAGTGATCACTTCTATAGATTTTATATGTATTTTAGGTGGCATCCTTTTTATAACTTGCATGCATAATACCATCAGTCTTAGCATTAACGAGATTTGTCAATTAAAAATTATAGTTTTTCTATATGGTTATATACTTTCTAGCACAGTCCTGTGATTCATAACTGTCTGCCTTTGAAGTTTAACATCTTCAATAAACAAGCTAAAACTTATAAACAAAGAGAGTGTTCAGGCTTCTTTCCTCATCCAGTGTAAAAAAAAAATCTCCTCTACCTGATATTGTTTCAGATACACTCAATTAATTCCAATATACAACAGAAGAGCAACAATTAAGAGCGATGCCTTATTGCATTGAATTTTTGTCCCTCCTTATTTTTCCGAGATCCAGCATATCCGTTGGGTAACTAAATAGTAAGATGTTGGGTGAAACGATACTGATATTGAATGAATATCAATCAAGTTTAGCTTAACTTCCCATGCATCCCACGATACCCAACAGAGAAGCAAATTTCTGCCAATGATTTCATTCAGTATCACTGGAGGTGACTGTATAGGATACAGAATACAGAATAACAAAGTTGGAAGGGACCTTGGAGGACTTCTAGTTCAAACCCATGCTCAGGCAGGAAATCCTACACCATTTCAGACAAATGATTGCCCAATCTCTTCTTAACAAGTGTTAGAGCATCCACAACTTCTGGAGGCAAATCGTTCCACTGATTAATTGTTCTGTCAGGAAATTTCTCCTTAGTTCCAAGTAGCTTCTCTCCTTGATTAGTTTCCATCCATTGCTTCTTGTCCTGCCCTCAGTTGCTTTGGAGAATAGGGCAGCTCTCTCTTCTTTGTGGCAGCCCCTTAGATATTGGAACACTGCTATCATGTCACCCCTAGTCCTTCTTTTCATTAAACTAGACATACCCAATTCCAACAATGGTTCTTTATGTTTTAGCCTCCAGTCCCCTAATCATCTTCGTTGCTCTTCTCTGTACTGTTTCCAGAGTCTCAACATCTTTTTTATAATATGGTGACCAAAACTGGATGCAGTATTCCAAGTGAGGTCTTACCAAGGCATTATAGAGTGGTATTAACATTTTACATGATCTTGATTCTATCCCTCTGTTTATGTAGCCTTGAACTGTGTTGACTTTTTTGGCAGCTGTAGCACACTGCTGGCTCATATTTACTGTAAGTGATTGTCCACTAGGACTCCCAAGATCCCTCTTCCAGTTACTATTACTATTGAGCCAGGTACAGCCTATACTATACCTGTGCTTTTAGTTTTTCTTGCTTAAATGTAGAACCTTACTTTTTTCACCACTGAATTTCATTTTGTTAGATAGTACCCAATGTTCAACTGGTTGACTAAGAAAGTTCCTCCAAACTGAACTGATGATGTTTGGAATCAGATGTTGCTTCAAATGGTGAAGTATCAGAAGCCAACATGTGTATGGACTGCAATAGAGGTGTTGAATTAATGGAACTGAGCTCTCTGTAAAACTACAGACAAAAATGGTCAGCCCAGTGGCTGCAGTAGATATCATTTCTACAGCTCTTGAAAAGGTGATTTCTTTCAGATCATTGCAGAGGAAAAGCTGCACAAGAAATGAAAGGAGCATAATACAGGGATACATAGGGCAATGATAGGATGAATGGTACTACAACATTTATCCCAGTGAGCATGTTTCCAATTCAGTTGGTAATACCCTGTTTTCCCCAAAATAAGACATCCCCTGATAATAAGCCCAATTGGGCTTTTGAGCGCATGGCAGTAAGGCCAAGCACTTATTTCAGGGTTCAAAAAAATGTAAGACAGGGTTTTATTTTCGGTAATCTCAAAGCCATCACGAGGGGCAGAAAAATCAGTATTAACTACCCCTGCAATGCAGATAAGAATATATGAGAAATTGGAGTCAGAGATGTCTCTGAGAGTTGGTGAAGTTCTGTCTAGTCTATGATTGTCAGGTGAATAGTTATAGCATATGAATTTCAGAACCAAGAATATCATGTCTCCAAATGTTGTAACAGAAGGAAATCCCTTGTTGCATGCTATAAGACTAAACCAATAGGTATGGGCTAAGACACTATGTACTCAGCTTTGTGATGTGTAAGAAGAGTAGTGGGATGGTGTTAGCATCCCACTACTCTTTGTACATATCACAAAGCTGAGTAGAACAGGAAGCTAATATTACTGTTGGGGTTGGCAGTGAAAGTGTTAAACATTTCTTCCCCTAACAATGCTTACAATGTCAGTTTCCTTTCAATTTCTTGTATGGTGAAATGGTAATGCAGCATCCAGGTATAGGCAAGAAAGCCCTCTCTTGGTGACTGCTGAGGAGTCTGATAAGGTGGTACTGAAAATTTGGAGCAATTCATTCTGAAAGCAAGAGACCCAATGGGGATTCAGGCAGTCTCCTAGCTAACAGTGACTTCTTCCAAAACAGCCATGAGATATGAAGACTGACAGTGTCATGATTTCTTAGTGAATTTTTCAGAATGAATCCATAATTTTATGTGCCTCTCTAAAACATATTAAGCAAAGAGCAGTATCTACACTTAAAGCATTTACAAAAATAAGTTTTGGAAGTCATAGAAATGATTTGAGAATGGAATCCATATCTACAGCTTTCTCACCAATTGTTTCCTCAATAGAATTTTAAACAAGATAACGAGGAAAAGAAAGCATCATTTAGGAAAATAAACAAAAGAAAGAATATAAAAACTATCCCTAACTTAATTCTAAATAGTAATGTAACATCCTCTTCCATGTAGCTCCTGCAGTAATTAAAAAGCAACTGAGGGGGAAGGGACTCAACTGTAAACATGCACAGTAGAAATAAACATCCCACCCTTACTTGGCATCAAAGAGTCTTGAGATAGGTCAGCTCAAGAAACAGACACTGAAGGATCCTAAGAATGTTGTATTATTGTTGTAAGATACATTAATGGGGTTATGAAAACTTTCACTGTCTCTGATTAAGGATACGATACTTAAGCCACACAATCTTTTTCCCATGCTTCCTATTTTCTGTGAGTAAGCGACTGTTTCCCCTTTCTTACTTCTTCAAGGCCAGAGCTGAATTCCTCTAGAGTCTCACAGCTTGTATCTGTGATGCATAGTTCCCATACTAAAGATTCACGTTTCAATAACGTTTTTTTTTTGGTGGTATTGGAATCACTGAGGGGAAAAAAATGTCTGGCTTTTCTTGCTGCACTTTTTATATTTCTTAGTTTACAGCATAATACCAGCCAAGCTCAGAGGCAGTTTTGTGGATTGGATATTCTCTAATTTGTCAGTAAAATGCAGTAATTACAAATCTTAATTATTATGCTAATCCTATTATTTAAATCATGTTAAACTCTCTGGGATTTTTTTTTTTTAATATACAGACGTATGGGTGCATCGGGTGTGCCAGTCCTTGACAACCAGAGAGTGACATCAGGGAAACCATTCCACAAATATTTACTTAGAAGTAAGTAACAGAGGACTCATTACTTCCACCTAATTACATCTCGCCACTGACAAGTCTTAACAAGTGTATTATTCTGTACACAGATTTTTAAGGACTGTTGTAGAGTTCAATTATGTACTTATAGTCTCAGAAACGCACTCTGTCTTTGTATCCAATTAATTCTGAAAGATAGCAAGCTCTCCAGTGAACACAAAATAAATATAATCAATAACTAAATGATTGATTGAAGAATGTGAGAAATTATGCCTTTACTAACATTTTCTGATAGTTCAGATTTACTTATTTTTCTCATGTGATATAGATCCCTTATATTACAGTTACAGCAGGAAAGTGCTTTTGGCAGAAACTACTTAATCTTTTTCAGAAGGTTTATGATCATATAGAAAGGAACAAATTTCACCATGTAGCAAAAAAATGATTGCGTGTGTCTTTATATCCTACCTAGGTCACATGAATGGAAAATGTCCCCAAGGACTGCTGTCCCAGTGTAGCCAGTGGCATCACTGCCAGTCTCTGTGATGATAATGCTGTATTTGCATTCTACCTTTCCTCCAAATGAAGATTACAAAACATGTAAACTTGTTCTTCAGCAGTCTCTATATAGACATACATAACACTTATAGACAATTTAAGACAAACAAGACTTGGATTTCTACTTAGGTATATATCTGAGAGGAATATCTGTATGCTACCTGAAGATAAATTAAAGCTACCTGCTTGTCCACATATATTGTTCTTTTGAACAGTAGGACAAATAGGTTAACAAGAAGCCTTTCCTTACTATAGACAATATGCAGGTAAGTCATACTTTCCCCTCTTGCTTCCTAGTGCTTAACAACACAATTAGTCACGGATCAATACTAACAAAAGTCTCATTCAAAACTTTATTGAGCCATGAAGCTCATTGGGTAACCTTGAATTGGTCTATATATCACAGCCTATTCAACATCAGTTATTCTGAGACTAAAATGAGGGGAACTGCATAAGCTAACCCAAGTTCTTCAGGAAAAAAGCTGGGATATAAATGTAATTAATTCTTAATTAAAAACTTACATGGCTATGAAGTAATCATCATTTCACCTCCCAAGGATGAAATCCTATTATGTCTTTAGCTACAGTGAAGACAAAGGCAAAGCTAAAAAGATGAACCTCATTATTACCAAACCCCCCTTTTTTTCCCAAAAGTAGTTCCAAATTCCAAAAAGAGAATTTGTTTTCCCAAGATCCCAGAATTTCTAAATAAATCTTTTTCTGGATAACACTGTCGTCCTGCACTAATCTTGGGAAATGTGAAAAATAAAACACAGAGATAACTGGACCAGAGTAGGTTATCATGTCTCTAGGACATAAGATTATATCAAATGTCATAGGAAAGGACATCATGGTAGAAGACATGGACATCCACCACTGAAAGATTAAGAGACACTAGGATAAATGCACCATCTTCATCCTAAATCTGCCACAGGTCCACAGGTATATCCGTAAGGATGCCTTAAGACTGAATCCTAGTCTGAAACGTAACTAAAATGGGTCTAGAAATTTCCAGACTGTAACTGCAGTCTGAAACACCTTCTTAATAAACTTTCCCAAAAGGGGAAGGTTGGAGGCATGATGATACTTGTCCAAAATCACTGGGCCCAAGGCTAGTCTCTTGAGAAGGGAACACTCCACTGCCTCCTTCAAGGCTGAAGGCACAATTCCCTCTGTCAACAAGGTTGGCACTCCAGCATGGATTCAACCACAGATTACCTCCCTGGCTACCGTAACAAATCATTAAAGAGGTGTCTAAATTAACAGAGAAAAGAATCCTGTCCATTTCTTCAGGCATTATTCCAGTTTACTCATCCTACATCACTACACAAGACTGAACTTCAGAAACCTCAGTTGGGCCTGCCCAGTTGGAGTTTATCTTGGAGCAGATCTGAATGACTTTATCTAACAAATAATCTGAATGTTCTTCACAATGTCCTCTTCTGCTCACTGCCCCCTGGAAATGGGTCACCCTAAAAAGCCACTGGATGGCTATCAGCAGATAGAGTAAGGGCAGGTGACATTTTCCTACCCTTATTGCCATGAGGTAATCCCGATATGGGCTCCTATCATGTCCAATCAGTCACTTTAGGTCTTCCTCCAAGGTCCTCCAGAAGGATATCTTCTAGAGCTTCATCTTTTGGAACACATTAGTAAACTAAAATATACTACTAGATTGGTGCGCACAGAGAGAAAGGACACATAGAAGTGATGTGATGCAAGGCCCAAATTACTTCCCAATTTCAGGCAGAAATCAAGAACTTGCTAAACCAGTCAACTCCTCAGGAAAATTCCTAAGCCCCCTCAATCAATTAGAACAGGTCACCTGTTCTACAACAGGCCTCATGTTCCTGCAGGGAGGAATGACCCCAGTAAACCCAATGCATTCATTATTACATAGATATGATGTGTAGTATAAACATGTAAACCACAGAGATTTGAATATTCAGAAAATGTTTTTAAGGGATAGCAACTATGGCATTAATCTCTCCCATGTCTTACTTTGAGAAGTTAAAAGATTTAGAGTATTAGCAGTTTAAGACTAAATTAAAGAACATACCGTTCGCTTCATTGAAGTATCACTTAATGAATGAAATGTCTGGAAATGAACATTTCTGATTCTTACTCTGGAAGCTAAGGTGTAAATTAATAGTGCAACAGTGTATAAATTACTTTAGGTAATAATTAATGAAAATCTGTGAATAACAAGTTTGAAAGTAGGGAAAGAAAATCTGAGGAAGACTAACATAAAATCAATGCAATCATCACAAATACAACACAAAAAGCAGGTGATTGTATTTACAGTTCTACTCTCCATATTGTTGGGATTCAGATTTGCCCTTTATAAGGGCTGTGTTTATGCTGTAGATAAGCGGACACAATGAAACACTATAACTTGTTTGACTAGTTAAGAAAATAAATATACCCTCTCTCACCCTTCCAATAACATTTTCCTGGAAAGTTGGTTTTTTTTTTCCCCTGGATCTACTTCTAAATTAGAAAGCCACACTGCCCTCCAGTTGACCTTTTCAACATCCCTTTTCCTTTATTTTTCATGACTTGGCCTGTGTTGACTTCATTAAGGCTGAAGAGATCCCCTCCCTTAGTCTTCATCTCCTGGCCAACATGAGATTTTGGGAGATCTGGCAAAGTACATTTCAAGAAATTCATGATATGTGAGATTCAGAAGGGAAACAACCTTTCAGCCACTGATTCTCTTCTCTGCTGCTCGTATAGCCAAGATTTAAAAAGAAAGGAGAATAACATAAGAGAACCAAGAAGAGTCTAGATTTTAGCCCAGATTCCTCAGTCTTGAAGAATTGACTTTTAAAGTAAAAAAATTAACAGTTTATAAAAATTAGTACTGCTTGTGATTATAGAAAGCGGATAACTATATATCCAGTAGACAAAAGTCTTCATTGGAAATGAAAATGTCAGAAAAATCTTATTTGTCTTTCAGTTCTATCGGCATTCACACCTACTCCTCTGAAGAGTTAGGTAGCATTCACACAAATTACTCCAAGTGGGAAGGATAAATGTATGGATTGATTTAAATAGTAACATAAGAGACTCATATAAAGGCATTATAAAAGGCAGCTTTGCCAAGTTTCAAATTAAGATTCTTTGTTATAGCACTGTTAATCACCATATAAACATCCCAAGTGGTATAAATCTCTCAGTAGGGGTAAATTAAAGGAATGGAAATGTTTCCACTTTAATAGGTTTGATTTGCTTAGTACATGACAAAATGCTCTAACAAATGGGTTATAAAATAATTATGCAAGGAACCACCCAAACTAATCCAAACAATTTATGAAAGCGTATAAAAATAGGCATTTCCTTCAAATATATTATTTTTTGCCAGGAGAATGGTCAATAGAAACAGAAGAGCAGGCCAGGCTTGGCAGGATTTAAAAACTGGCACCTATTTGGGTTGCTTCATCCAAGGTGATAATCAGGGGATTCACTGCTACAGATTTCTGAAATCATAATAGGCTCTGACTATATTTGTAACAATCTAATTGAACTATACTAGCATAAATTCTTTTCAGGTTCATGTCAGTTTCTAGACATTCATTACTATATGCAGATAATATAGACATGTTGAATTAACCAGAATCCATTAGCAATCAAATATATGTATTTGATATAGTTGAATAGACCATGTAGCTGTCTTATTCCCTTATCCTGGGCTACTACACACAGGAGCATGTTTCAGCTTTATTCAAAAAATAATGATGTTCAGATCTTCCACGTATATGAAACACTAGTCAAAATTAATTTTGTATTCTGTTGGGATTTCATTCATAGTTAAAGATACCCAAAACAAGAATGCAGACAATATAAGCAGGTAAATGCTACTTACAGATGAGAAAACCCTATTTACAGAAAGGAAAATATGGGAAAACAGAATCCGGAAAAGACATAAGTTTAGAGGTCAGGCATAATAGTCAGACACCGTGAACCCATTTGTAATGGCTACCAGTCTTGCATCATGTAAAAGATTTAATTACTGTCTTATTGTGTCAAATTTTCAGCCAAATTATGCCTTCCAAGGGGGGGATCTAACATGTCCTTTGTGAAGGAGAAAATCTATTTTTGCTCAGTTATTCTTAGTGTTGCAATCACCGAAAAGAACAAAGATGGGTTATCATATTGTTCTTTGTTAAAAATTACCAATGCTCATGAGAACATTTCAAGTCATATTTAAGGAAATAGGCAGATTAGTGTGCATTCTCAGCTATCATTATCTCTTAAAGCTGTGTAAAGTAGAAATTGTACATAATTATATTTTAATAATTAATTAATTAATTACATCTATATCTAATTATGCATTGCAGTCTCTCTTTATTCTTCTGTCACAAAGCCTACTACATCATGTGCCTGAACTGCTCTAAAACAGCAAGTACTAATGGTCTTATTGAAATCAGCAAGGCTAAATCACACCAATAACAAGTAAGACCCTTCTGGTTCAATGGAACTGTTCCCAGCTAAATAGAAATAGAATGAATTTTGGTCTTATATTCATTTTAACAGAGTTTATGTTTTCACTGGATTGCACATTTCTATTAGTAAAATGCTGGTATTTTATTCCCATATGTGCATAAGGTAGAGACATAACACTCATTTGCATCCAAAAATTGTCGGTAGAAGAAAAATAGCAATTAAAATTGTTATAAATATGCTTGAGCAAGTACATGAATATGAATTAACAGAGTGCAAATATGGTCATAGAGGATTTCATGCATGAGATAATATGTTTCTTATAGATCTTAGGAATGTCTCATAGGAATGTAATCAGTTCTTTGTCCAATATTATAGAAATAGGATCACAACAACTATAAACATTAAATGGAAAACAGTAATATTGGTGGAAAGAAAGGTTTGCTGCTGCTCAGCAGGTACCAAGAGGAAAGCATCATTATATTTTAGAGATTCCAGGCTTTACCTGGGATGGAAGATTTCATCTGCTGATGTACTCCTGGGTTACATCAACAAAGGAATAACATCAAGATTTTAAATGGGGGATAATACCACTTTATACTGC